AAGAAATTAATTATCGTTATTAAAAAAATTTTAACCGAAAAGTGATCACTTTTTGCATATATTTTTCATTATTTAATGAGCATTTGCAAAACATTTAGTAAATATTTGTATTTTCTAAAATTTTGATTACTTTTATTTAATACTATAAACATTTATTTGATAAAATTTTATTATAATGCCTGTTCCCAAAAAACTAAGTCAATTTGTTTTCATTAACTAGGCAATATTGTTTTGGTAATTTTTGAAGTTTGCATAATTTTGCGAAAAATTTAGATATTGAAAAGGTAAACCAACTTGATCCACTTTGGCAGCTGAAGTTAAAAATTGCACAGAAATGTGAACCTATCCGAGACAAAGTCTTACACAGATTCTTACTGTATTGTGGCATTTGCGAAATTTTTTATTTCGAAAACACAACTCAAGAGGTTTTGAAAAAATATTTGAGACAAAACATTTTTTATATGATCTAAAATCATTAACAACTGTAATGAAATATGCAATAATAAGACCAAAATATTAGAAACCAACAATTAATCTAATACACAACGATGTTCCTGCTCCTCTGCAGGTGTTGCAGTATCTGTTAGACCCTCCTGCTTTATAACATAATATATGAAAACTACAACGCAAATTCATTGCCATAAATTATTCAAAAACTGATTTCTCAAATTGTTATCCTCTGACGGGCACACTCGCTATTGCAGCCTGAAGACTTCAGTTTAATGTTCTTCTGGAGTCAGCTGTAGGATATACAGATTTTTGAAATCCGCTTTCAAAAAGCTTTATGAAAAACGTAAATGTTATTCTAAGTTTTCAATTTTTAATTGTGAAGATTCAAGAAATGATAATTCAATTACATATCAAAAATCATTTCATAATATTCGATGTATAAATATATAAAAGTTTTAAAATTTACTTCCATAATTTCTTAATGGACATGTTCTTATCTGAATCCTTCTGCATAACTTTAGCGACAGTCATTTCAAAATCTTCTTGAGTAACATGCGCACAACGCTTACACAATGCGTACATACCAGCTTCTATACAAACGCTTTTAACTTCTGCACCAGAAGTTCCCGATATAAGTTCAGATGCTTTACGCAAATTAATGCAGCGGGTCAAGTTAATTTTACGCGAATGAATTTTGAGAATATCTAAACGAGTTTCTTCATTTGGTGAGGGAATTTACATTTTTTTATGGTCGAATTATCCTTTTTCACAACAGCTCTAAATATTTCGGAAGAATATATACTTTGAAATTAAAGCTCGCGCTAAATAATCAAACTGATAATTTATGTTCATTCTTGAAATAATTTTATAATTACCTTTGGATATTCTGGTAAGAAACCCTTTATCAATAGCTTACGATGATTATTTAATTCAATTAATTCGAAAATTGTCTAAATAAAAAATCTTCATCGATTTCTATGTTCTCCGCTATTGCAAAATATGTAAACAAAGTACTGAAATCAAAATATATTCACAGCTCATATTAGCTGTCAAAATGCAACTCGCACACTTTTTTGGACTAAGTGGCTAAATGCGTGCCGCGCAAAAAATCCCGAAAAAAATTCCATTGAGTTTAGCATCAACTTAGCTTAACTCGCACATGCCCTAAAAGATTTTATTTTAAAATTTTAATAATTAATTTAAAAAACTTTGAATACATTGATAAATGGTTAAGAGATATATTATAAAATATGGAATATTATAAATAAATAAAAGTAAAGAAGAGAAATAATAAATATTTATGACTTCATAAGTTGAGATTGGTGTTTGTACTTGGTAGCGGTTCCGAGCAATTTAGAGAAACTTTGGGTGTAGACAGCAGCACGGTTGCGTGATTTAGGTAGAACGAATTGAAATAGGTAACTGTGACGCAAAGTAATAGAAAACTGAACAGTAGAGTAATTGAAGTAAGCAAGATTCAGGGCTTTAACAGTGTTTGAATCTAGGTTAGACTCTAGGCACGGAGTATAACATATGTAGCTTTAACAACCACGTGTGCCTATACTATTGTATCAGAACCTATTGTACCTAAGCCATCTACCTATAGTAGGTGGCTTCAACAGTAACCTAACGTCTCCGACAGGGAAGGGTGTGTTGACTTCGATCTATAATAAAACACACGTAGTTTTAACAATCACTTGTGTCTGTGTTATATCGCGTCGGATATACTTATGTTCAGTTCTGAGAAGTTCGGTTGTTGGAAGTGACAGGTTCTCAATAAATAAATTTTCTTATGAGGACCTTGGACAACGCTGAGATTACCCCAGCTTTAAACGATCCAAGAGAAAGATTCATTATAAACCAATTGATTTAGTTAATGCAAAATGTAGTAAGGCCGTAACAAATGCGCTTAACGGTCTAACCATATTTATCCATGTTTCTCTTGGCAGCCAAAAAATACCTCGTTTAACGGCCAAAAAAATTATATAATTTATTTATAATATTATTTTGCTTATGTATAGTATATATGTATATAGTATATTATAGTATACATAGTATATAGTATTATATAGTATATATAGTAAATTATTGGTGTGCAGACAAAATGCCTATTAAGAAAGATGATTTTAGTAGCACTGAATCAAGGTGTGTGTTTTTGTGCAATTATCTAGAAATGCATTGTGTGTTTAATGCTCACTGTGTTAAAAGTTGTTTATACCCTATTAACTTAGTATGAAATTAAAAATAGCAAAATCTTGTTTGAAGAATGGTTTCATACATATTTCTATCCAAAAGGTAAAACACATTTAGAGAAGCACAATATATCTTATAAGGCTCTACTGTGGTTTGCAATTTTTCAAAAAAATGAAAGCGGAATCTTTGCCAAAAAATACCACGGCTTTACTTTAGGCAATAGGTCAAGGTGCTATACACACTTTTGAAGATGCCAAAAAAGTTTCTGAAAAAACCACTACATTAAAGATGACATAGTAAACATAGATTACTCATGAAGAGAAATACAAATGTTATCCTTTAACAAGTTTCGCAAGTCTTTATGGTCAGAACGTTATTAAAATGGCGAGGCTGGTTTTATTGATTACATTGTAGATGACGTCAGCCAACTTTTAAGAAATGATAGAGATCAGCTTACAAATGAAAAATTCCTGAAGCTAGATGATTCAGGAGACTTCAATGAGGAAAAAAACAACCATATTAGATAATAAGAATAAAGAATAAGAAAGAACAGGATACAAGCTCCCATTTGAGCAGAGCACCACGACCATGATTGATCTTTTGTGCTACAACAGACCCTAACTAAACAAAGGACATTCCGCCTTTCGAATGAAGGCCAAAATGTCGGTTGCTGAGGACCTCCTAATGTCGTAAGGTGCTAGCAATTCCCGACCCAGTGATCTCTTCCTGGCCCAGATCAAAGCTGGGCAGTCACATAGAATGTGGCTGGTTGACTCCTCTGCCTCCAAGCAGAGTCTACAATCTATCTCTTCGGATAGGCCCATTTGGTTGAGGTGGTAACGTAGCCCATGGTGACCCGATATATATCCCACTAGCAACCTCAACTCTGTTTTGCTAAAGGAGGATATTTTATTATAACTATAGGGGAGAATCAGCTCTTTAGCCTGACGGTTACCTCGACTGTCGCGCCAGTAGCGACTTCTCTCGGCAGATCAAATCCAAATAATGATTAGAGACCTAGTTGTAGATCAACTTAATCCACAGAAAGGTTCTGGGCCACAGATTAGAGTGGCGGATCCTGCCCGTGCATGACTATCGGCAGACTCATTACCGTTAATTCCTGTGTGACCAGGCACCCAGCACAGTGTCACTTTATTATTGCTTGCCAGCTGCTGCAGTGTGTCATAGCAGTCTGCTAGAAGTTTTGAGAAAAACTTCCAGGAGCATAACGCTTTGATTGCTGCTTGACTATCTGAATAAATACAGATCCGGGCGCCTTTCAACCCCTTGTTAATGTTGATACGAGCGCAGAATTCGATGGCGTGAACCTCTTCTTTGACGACAGTGGGCCATATATACAGCGCGAGCGAGATTCTGGTGTTTGGACCAAATATTCCAGCACCAACTCCTTCTTTGGGTTTCGAACCATCAGTATACCACGATATCATTTTTGGTACGAGTCCACGAGTGCCATTTACCTAGGCCAATTGATCGGGTATGAGGACTTCGAACTTCCTACCGAAGCGAAGTTCCATGTTCATGCGATCTGTCCTATCGCAGATCTCTATGCCAGGAACTAGTCTGAAGATAAAATTTTGACTGACGAGACTTCCGTGCATGTTGATGACAGGGTGTAGCCTAGCTGCACTCATAGCTTCTGTCTTTTTTAAAAAAGAGGTGCAGAGGGGTGAGACCCACTATAGACTCCAGTGCTGATGTGGGACATGTTCGAATAGTTCCCGTCATAGCGATGCATACGAGTCTTTGCAGTTTATTGCATTTGACTATTGCAACATTTTGTTGCGCTTTATTCCACCAAACAAGAGCTGCGTAGGATACAATGGGTCTGACCATTGTGCGGTATAACCATGATATAATTCTAGGACTTATGCCCCAGGTTCTACCATATGAGGCTTACATGTCCACATGACCTTAGTGGCTTTGCCAATTATATTATCCAGGTGAGTGTTCCAGTTAAGACCCTTATCTAGAGTGACCCCTAAATATTTGACTATCGGAGCATTCGATAGCCGTATCTTTAATAGACAGGGACCCAATATTTACTTTGTACCTTCTGGAAAATTGGGTTAATACTTAGGTCTTCTTTGGTACACCAGTTTGAGACTTTGTGTAATGCCGCCTGCATTAACTGTGGTGTCAAATTTACCTGTGATAATGATTGCCAGGTCATCTGCGTAACCTATGGCATGATATCCAGATTGCTCCAGTTTAACAAGTAGGTCGTCGACTACCAGCGTCCATAACAATGGTGAGAGAACCCCACCCTGGGGGGCAGCCCCGTACAGCATTAATGCTGAAGTTAGTGCTACCTAACTTGGACGATATGTTTCTATCACGCAACATTCTATCTATCCACGTTATTGTACCACATATGAGTCTATATCTTTACGGGCCAGTGCTCCAGATATGGATTCGTAAGATGTATTATCGAAAGCTCCCTCTACATCCAGAAATGCACATAAGGCGATCTCTTTAGATTGAAAGGTACTTTCAATTTTGCTGACTAAATGATACAGCGCGGCCTCTGTAGATTTGCCTTTTGAGTAGGCACATTGGGTGGAGTGGAGTGGTACAGTTTGTTCCAATTTATTCCATATATACAGATCAATTAGCCTTTCGACGGTCTTCAATAAGAAAGACGTAAGACTAATGGGTCTGTAGGACTTAGGTTGGTCCATAGGATTGTTCCCAAGTTTGGGAATAAAGATCACGTTCACTCCTCTCCAGGAATGAGGGATATAACCCATAGTAAAACAAGCCATTGATAAGACTCTTTAGGTCTTATTAATGGGTCTATTATGATATCTATGCAATTCTGTAATAGAGCAGGATAGATACCATCGCCTCTAGGCGCCTTAAATGGTTGAAATGAGCTGATCGCCCATTTCACCTTGTCCCTGTCAAAGATAACACCAGATAGTGCGTAATCCTGACATGTAGGAGCAGTAACTTCCCTATATGAATGAGATGTTGATGGTCCGGTAACGGAGCCAGGGAAGTGTGTTTGCAAGAGAAACTCGAGGGTATCTTTACGACCAGTTGTGAAGGATCCGTCGGGTTTTTTTAAAAGGTCTACTTCATTTGTTTTGACCTTATTTAAAGCCTTGTGTAGTCTAGCAGCTTCAGGCAACTTATCAATACTATCACAATGGCTACGCCAGCTGACCCGTTTGGACTGTCTGATTGAATTGTTGTAGTCGGTGAGCGCAGCTCTATAATATTCCCAACTATCAGAGCGTTTTGCTCTATTGACTAAGATCTTTACTAATTTGCGCTTATTAGCTAGTTGGAAGTTCCACCAAGGAACCTTACCTCTAATTGAAGCATTGCCTGCAACCGTGCTGTTGTGAAAGGAGGTTAGTAATACCTCACCTAAATGGTTTGCGGCCAACTCTATCTCTTCACAAGTTCTTAGTGGCCTAGCTAAAGAAAAATTTTCGGAACCCACCAAGTCCCTGTACCAAAGCCAGTTGGTTTTCTTTGGCCGGTACGCTTTATTTTACTGTTCGGATATACCGGGAATTTCAAACCTTATATGTTGATGGTCTGAGAGGGACACGTCGTCCGACACATGCCAATTCCATATAGATTCCTCAATACCTCTGGTGCAAAGAGTGAGATCTAATACCTCTTCTCTAACTGCATTAATAAAAGTGAGTTTACTACCTTTGTTAGCTATACTTAATCCTAACGACATAATATAATCTAATAGGTACTCACCCCTTTTGTTATCGTTACTGCTCCCCCACACTGTATGGTGAGCATTTGCGTCGCAGCCCAAGATTAGCTGCCGCCCAGTGGACTTGCAGAAGTTGATCAGCTGTTGGACTTCCGATGGTGGAACCGCATCTTCTTCACCTGGGAAGTAGGCAGAGGCCATGACAATATCTGTCACCCCTCCTATTGTAGATACTTCAACTAGGACCGCAACTAGGTTTTTAGAAATAAAATTTGTTAGCGGAAGATGTTTTAAGTCTCCACCAATTAAGATAGCTGCACGTGGCACTGCTATCGATCGGTCATAAACCAGCTTACCTGATTTTGAGTTTCGACCCCGAATGTGGCCACCGAACACCCACGGCTCTTGGATAAATCCCAGAGCAATGTTGTTGGTTTGGGTAATTCTGCACAGGGTGGCTGATGCTCCTTTAGCATGGTGCAGATTTGCCTGGAGCGCTTTAAAAGTGCTCATTAGGTCTCGTTAAGAGACTTTCGGACGAGACTATCGCGTTTGTCTCGTCGAGAACCCTTGTTTTTGGCACCCTTTGATTGCTCCGGTAAAACTTTACCGACTAAGGGTGGTTATAAGGTAGCGGTCCTTGGTTTACCTGCTACTGTAACTAGGCGGGCTTTGTGGAGGGCTTTGTGGACTTACTTCCTAAGGTGGGAATCTGAACAGCATGCCCATTAGCAGTGCTAACAGCCTTGCTAGTGGATGGGCGTGTGTCTAGTTCCTCTTTCTCAGAAATAGTCACTGTTGGGCAACTGTCCATAGAGGATGTTGCCGGAGCCGATGATGACTGGATGGTTTCTTCACCCTGAACCACCTTTGGGGCTTTATCCATGGGTGGAGAAATAGCGGGGGTGGTTCCCTTAAGCATCAATCTCAGGTGTCCGAACCGGTATGCAATCCTACCTTTTAGTTCGGACAAACGACCTCATGGATTCGTCATCAATGACGAAAACAAGGTGCAGCATCTGATCCTGCGTCAGTCTGTGAATCACCTTCCACCGTTTGGTGGAGAATGCCAAAACTAATGGTAGCCAAAACTTTTTCGTTTGACAAAGTCAAACTTTGGGGTAAATAGCCACGAACTCCATGAGTTCGTGGGAAATCCTTTTCCTTGACCATGTTAATGGCGGGCCCGCATTTGGCCCCTATGTGACCAGAAAATCGCTTGACCCACTCCGCGGTTTTTGCATCGCTGCAGACGATAAGTAGCCACCCCGTTCTAGGTAAACACCCTTCGAACTCCGGCTGCATATCGTCGCAATGTTGCTCTATAGCAACATCAATAATCGCCTCCTGGAGACGCATTATTTGCTCTGTAGAGAGCGAAGTGCCAGCTGGATCTGGTGACGTGAAGCCTAAACGTACGCCTTTAACAGCTAGGCTGTACGATGGCTTGGTGAGCCCCACATGAGCCACCTTAGGTTTTTTGGCGGAAATCAAACTGGGGGATTGCTCCTCCGATCTGACCCGCTTGTTCGCAGGCGGATGTTGCATAGCGATTTTTAGAGCCTCTGTCCTGCTATGGCCTGAAGATATAGCCGCCTTAAACCTTCTTCACTCACTTCTTTTAAGGTGAGTAAATTTTGGGGAATCCAAACTGAGGTTCCCAACTTTGGAGCCATCGACAGTTAAACCGGATTTTTGTGATACCACACTGCCAGTGTCGGAATCACCAGACTCAGCGGCTTCGGAATTTGAAGACAAGACCTCAATAATTTCCTGCCGCCTTACCTGAGATCTCGACGAAGATACTGCTGGTGCGTACATCGTTTCCGAAAACGGAGAAGTAGACGGTGGCCCATCCGGGTCCATTTTGACGCACACAGTAGCGCTGTCAAAATGGGTGGAGGCTTCCAGCCCAGTGGCCGGCACACACTCAGCTACTGATAATTCCGTAAAGGAATCATTTGAAGGTGATACCGTTAGAGACATCAAGCTCATTTGAGTTTATATTATTTAATTTTTCCATGCAAAATTTTTATATATTCGGGATTGGAAGGTCACCCACGACATAGCCCGTTTATCGTGAGAAGTCTAATTAAAACTGGAGGTCGACAGGTATCCAGAGTTCGCATATTAAAGACCAACTATCCATGGCCATTCATCCCTCGGCATGTGCTGTTCCACCGTAGATTTGAGCTTTGATTTTACATGCGTCCGCCCGATTACAATTAGCCAGCACCCATAGCAGAGACATGACCATACTATGGACCTGTTTCTAGCCGCCTCCGCGTAGAGAATGTAATCACGCTACCGACAGTGTACAACAGTTACGGCACATACACAAAGTACGTGTTTATCCCCCTGTGTATCTGACGGCTGACGGCCCATATTAGATAATAGTGCTAAATTAACATCCCAAATTCTGATGAAATGTTTTGATAAAATTGATAAAGTACTCAGTGACTTTAGAATTGCAAATTCACTTCTCTAGCAAAGCTCGGACGTTCCTAAAGAGGTTAATTCTGAAAGAGCAATAAAAAAAAGTTAAACAGCTAACATCCCATCTTAGAAATATATATTAGTAAATAAATATATATCAGATTTAGAGATAAAATATAAATTTTTTACTTTTTTTAAAGTCGTTATATATAGTTTTTTCTTTTGGAACCAGTTTAATTATTTTCCATACATTTATATGAAATTACTTGTTTAGTTTAAGGGCATTTCATTTTACGGCCAACTTTTTTGGAACGAATTAAGACCGTTAATATAAGTATGGGTGTATAATATTATATATGGTGTTTTTTAACTACATGAGAACTTAAAATGATAACACAAGACAGAAATATTGTTGGAATGAAATTTTTTTTAAAATAATTTGGTAAATAATTTCATGGCATTTATTTTTTGAATATAATTTCCGACATTTATACTCCGCAGCTACTACTCATATGGTCCATTTGATCAGTCCAATTTTTGAATATTTTTTGAAATAAATGTGGCCGTATGGTGCCAATGGTGGTATAAATATGAGTTTCCAATGGTTCAAAAATTACTAGTTTGTTGATTTGTGGGCATAAATAAATGACAATATAGCGTCACATAAAGTAATTGAGAGGCGTTAAAACGCACGAACAAGGAGGCCAGTTAACAGAATCACTTCTGGAAATAAAATTGTTACCAAATTGATTTTGCAATAAATTGATTGTTAAGCACGCTGTATGTCAAGTTGCGCCGTGTTATTCGAACCAAACATCGTCTATGTTTAACTTCGATGTTTCGGAAACAAAAATAACTAATTGATAGCATAGATCGATAGTGTTCACCAGCATGGATCGATAGTGATGATGGCACCAGAGTGTAAACTGCACCAACAGTCAATTTTAATGGATGTAATGGTGATTCGTTAATAGTTTGAGGATTATCTTCGCTCCATATATGACAATTTTGTTTAGTGGCGTAACTATTTTACAAGAAATGAGCTTAGTCACTAAATACAATTTTTCAAATAAGAGTGAATTTCAACAAGTGTCGATATATAGTTCTCATACAGTTAAAAGGTATGTGTTCTTAGTTCACAAAATAATTTATTTCTTTTAGAGAAAATTTGAAAACCAGTAATTAATTTTGTATATTAATTAGAATAAATTTTGTTCATATATATATAAATATAAAAAAAATGCTTGTTTTGTTACAATTTTAATAAATTGTTGAATTGTTTTTAATAAAATATATACTAATATAATCTAGACTAAAAGACTTAAATCACACAGACAACTAATCGTAGAACTACTAAATAAATAATTTTTACCTGGATTTAAATTAGTATCCATTTATAAAGATATGTATCAATTGGTTAAACAATCAATAATTATTTGTGTCCTCTTCTTAAGTATTGTGTAGCATCAATTATACCAGAAATCTTAACAGAGTCTTCTGAAATTCACGTTTTTTATAAAGGCGATGGATTTTAACTCCGCATCAATTTCTTTTGGTCGCAGAAGTTACACTCACTTCTGAAATATATTGTAACTGCTTTGACACAATATATGCTTTTACATTATGCCAAATTTCAAACAAAATAAAAGTTTAAAATGCGAATTTATTTTTAATCTTTTATTAATAAGAGTTAGTAAGTATTATCATATAACAATAATACTATGTTCAGACAAACCTTAATATCGCAAAATTCTTAATTTCATCTGCGTTACAGTGAAATTACGTTGTTTTTTCATACAAAATTCAGTTCTAAGGTTAGATCGAAATTAAGGAAAATGGTCTTAATTTCGTTGTAACGAAGGCTGAAATTAAGGGACATTTCAAATGCAACTAGTAGTAGTAGTAGTATTTTTTTTTATTGTAATATATAGGTTATATTTACATTTACAAAATAAATTTATACATTTTCAATAATTTATAATATATAAAACATAAATATTATAAATAATTATAAGAAAAAATAAGAAAAACCTAACTTAATTGACATAACTAGATTCTAATTTATCCTTATACGATTATGGCTTTCGCCGTCAATTGGAGGTTTGGATTTGTGTTTGATTTTTTTTTACATTGCAGTAGCTATCATATAAGTGACCATTGAGAACTTCAGCTTATGAGTGTTAAAATGCTTCTAATAAAATATTTTCTCGATAACGAAACGCAGCTTTCACATATGCCAGTTTTCACCATTTAGCAGCCTCATTAACTCGTTAACATCTAACGATTATTTTCCAAAATAATTTACCCGTAGCTCCATTAAAATTGGACATTTACTAAGAAAATGTATTACATCTTCCTTTTCTCCCGTATTGCACAGTGTGCATCTCGGGTCTGACGATTTCATATAGGGGGCGCTGTTAAGCTTTAACAGTTCTTCTCGTGTTTTGAAAATATATCCAATTGCTTCAGCACTGAAACGATCGGCGAAGTAACTGTTGTTGCCTAAGTCAAAATTGAGTTGCATATGTAAAACACGAGTTATGCTTTGTCGACATTCTGCTACGAATTTTTCTCTAAACGCAATACCGATTTTTACTAATATATTTTGCTGCCACTGCTTCCACGAATGTATGTCGTCGATTATCCGTGTTTCATCGTGGACCGTTGCTAGATCAGCACATGTTTTAAAAAAGTGACTCTTCTCCTGCACTAGAGATATAGCTAAGATTTTAGGTAACCGCGAGCTTTCCATGTTGAAAACTTTTAACATGTACTTGAAGTGGATTTCTAAAGTGTACAAGTACAGAGGTGACAAGTCAGTCTCCAAATAAATCATTTGGTTGGGTGTGTTAAACGGTAATCGCTATATTTTTTTTTACAAAAATTCATAAAATTTTTTTATTTTTCATATTGAAGCACTCCCCATACCTGAGCCGCATAGCACATTAATGATCTCGTAGTAGCTTCGTAGAGTTGAAATTTTGTTTTGAAAGGTACGTCTTTATTTTGAAATATATTTTTCCAAGAGCAGTTAATAGCTTTTTTAGGTTCTCTCAATTTTTCCGTTAATTGTCTATTAAATGAAGCATTATAATAGATCCATGTTCCAAGATACTTATATTCCTTAACTATTTCTACATTTTCTCCGCCTAATGTTCATATTTCCTCATTTGTATATCGCCTGTGATGCGTATCGCCTGTGTAAGTATAATATTTATTAAATGCAACTATGCATTAGATAAATTTTAAACAAAAGATAAATTTGAGATAACGAAAAAGTGAAGTTTTTTTAAAATAAATATCAGTAACAGTTGACTTTAATCCATTAAGTACTAGACAAGTTCAAACATGCAATTTTATGGTGAAATTTTCAGAAAGGTCATATTTTACGTTAAAAATATTCCCTGCAAAATTAAGTTTTTTTTTTGAAGAGTAGTTTTCCGAAAAAGTGCTGTGTGGTCAACCACACGCTGGGACTCATAGCACATTTTTCTCTCTTCGATTGTACAAACATTTTTATATGTGTTTTGTTCGCAAATATGGTATTTAATTACTTTTATGGTGAAGTAAGTATCATTTTAAGTTAAATAAAATACGTGTTAGTATAAAATTTTATGTTTTATGCTTTTCATAAAAAATATATTTGAATTATTACATATGTATTGTATTATATAAAAAGAAATAAGTTTCCTTGCGTCATTGTCTACGATCAATGTAAAATTGTTTATTTTTATAGAAAATTTTAAAGCAATTTTCTACATGACCATTTAAATGGCGCTTTTCGTATATAAAAACTGTAGCTTTTGGTGTACAAACAATACAGTGGTGGCGATTTTGAGTTTTTATGGGAGCGTGCATATCGGTTACACGTGGTAAATTTCCCGGAAGATAAATATCTTCTGCAGCACTGTGACTTTCCTTTTTCAAATCATCGTAAGCGGTAACTTCTGTAATGAACATTGAGTTCTCTGATGCAAGAAGATTTTCTGGCAATAAAATTCGTGAAGTCTAACTGAGGCATAGATTTTGTGTTGGTAGAAGCTGCGACGAAGCAATTTAGTTGTTAAGCGTTTATTACAGCGCTATCTAAGCACTGTACCCATAATGGCCACCACCTCTTTTTGCTTCTATTCCGGATACGATGGTTAGCAACTCCATTGTCAGCGCCGCCCATGTGTCGGTTGTAGATGTTGAGAACTTGAAGCTGCGGGACACCAACCTTTTTTGCGTTGCACATTTACTATTGGTTCAACGGAATCATACAGTATGTTGCAATGGCTACTCACAATGGTTCAATAATTCCTTTACAACAAATGCATCGATTCTCAATTGTTTGTTGTATTTGTCAATTGCACTGAAGTATGGCAGAAACTGGAAGATATACCCACTATCCAAAGAAAGGGTTCACAGCTTATAACTGAAATGTATTAGTTTTACAAGTTCCAATGTGAATAGTTGCGACTCAGGCATTTCTACAACACCACCATATTCTTGTGCATTTGATTCGTATACAACTTCAATAGTACCTAAATACCATCTCACAATTAGACAAACGGAATTCAAAATAGGAGAAAAAAATTTTAAAGTCGTATGTAATGTTTGTTGATATTTCATCATCGTCAATCATTTCATTGTCCAACTCACCAGCAACACTGTCAGGTGACAAACATCATTACTCAATAAGTCATATTGGCACTAATAAGTCATATTCGCTCCAATTGTCAATAATATGCAATAGTTCCTAATTTCTTAGATATCTTTGGCACGACATTATAATTTTATTTATCGTAAAAAATTGACTACAGAACTATAAGCATGAACAAATGGAAGCCCTATATAAAACAATCAAATTTAGACTAACTCAACCAGCAATCAAATTTCAAAATAGACCTATTATAATTATGCATAATAAAAAACACAACTTTAAGTAAATCAGAATGATATTTATTAAAGAGATTACTCTCATTTTATGTTATTACCTAACGACAAACATTTATATTGCTTTGTTTCACCATTATAGTATTATGGGACCCAGCGTGTGGTTCACCACACGCCTTTTTTCGCCCGCGGTTGGTGGCAAGTAACTGTTACTAAGCCGCCGGCAAAAATTACGAAAATTATATTTGGACTTTAGTGAACACATGTTATAACAAATATATTAGTTTTTATTTCTGTTTATTTCAATTTTCATATAATTAAAAAAAGCAGTTTTTTGGACACTTTTTAATTCGGACAAGGTAAACTCATAAACAGATGAAAACTGTTCGAAATATGTATTTTTATATTATTAAAATATCAAAATAAGTCACAAAAATAAAAAACATTGAATTAATTACTTTTATATATTTTTAAATAATTTTCAAAGTTAGCCGTGTGGTGTACCACACGGAGGTACGAAATGCGTTAATAAAACCGGGAAAATGTTTTGAAAGTAGTGCAAATTTTGAAATTTGAATATACAGAAAATATTGTAACTGTTATTAGTTTAAAATAGAGTGAAAACTAATAATTTACTTACCTGAAATTCACCAAAACTAATAAAATCACTAAATGCCATCCTCTATATTTACAATAGTCCACTTTTAAAATTTCCCAGATACAAATTGTATTTAAAGCATGTAATTTTTAATGTTCGATTTGTAAAAACAAAAATTTGGAGAAGTATGAATATTTTCGAAAATAACTTTATTTTATTTTTACAAAATAAAGAAATTTGGCTGTCTGAGCATAGTAAAACATGCATAGTCATGTTAAATTTTATGAACTCATAAAAATTGCATGAATTCAAAATTTGCATAATCTTTAATAATACATATATAATTAATAAATATGATTTTAAAATTAATAATTTATAATATGATTCTTGTATACCTGATATTCAACATCAATACTTCAATCTTTTAGAATGGATATGACAAACAACTTGCAGCAAATAATAAGTTCAAATGAAGTGAATGTATTAAATATGGAGAAGATATATGAAGTTTTACGAATAGTTACTTCACTGATGAGATTTTGTTATATTAATTAAAAATCCTCATAACCATAATCATAAAAAATTTTATGCCAAAATGAAACTTAGTGTGAGTGCTTACAGAGCTCATGCCTCCGCTCATAAAAAAATACTTTCCAGTGGTTATCATTCTCAACTTAATTATGGAAGTACTGTAGCGGCAGCATCTTCTTCAGGAAATAGTGTTTCTTCAGTAATACGGTCATATACGGTATCTTTGATTTGAATAAAAATTTTTTAATATGTTATTTACTAATTCTATCTTATATCTTTTTATTGGAAATCAGATGAACACCAATGAATTGGCAACGCCATTTCGAAATACGTGCAGCAGTGACACTGAGGTCGTTAGTCCAAGTGGTACAAGTAGTTCGGGGCAAGATACTGTTAACACCCTAAATAATAGTAAAACTTATAACAATGAAGATAATGTGAGCAATGGACTCTTATCGGATTGTAAACACACAAGACAAAGGTATGGAACAATTGTAAATATTACCTTTTTTAATTGTGATTTTCATATTTAAAACTTTTATATAACGTAAAAGAATAAACATGAAAACACATTTTTTATTTTGTTGTATTCAAACCATTCTATTATATTTATATTTGCATCGTCTTCTTAAAATTCGTCATTAATGTAGTTAAATGATATGCATTTACACATTTATGGCTGTTGTGCCATAAGTTTGCAATAAAACAACTTTATTAATTTTTACTTTCCACGTGGAACAATCTTTTATTAATGCTTTTTCACTAACGAATAGCTGTCTGTTATAATGTTAGTTGTTTATTGGAAAATATCATTTAATTTTATTTCACTTCCCTCCCCCTTCTCTCCTCCTACTCCCTCCTCAGTGCTAATCACGATGGAAATGTTGTTGCTGTATCTGCAAACATCACCTGCTTTTTGTGACTTACCTTTTAACCTGAATATGGGAGCTCGAATGGCTTTGCGTTGTGGTCAATGTATAAAGATCTTTGTGAACAAATATGTGTCCCTGGATATGAAGAGCGGCTGGAATTGGTTTAAGATTTTGAACAAACTCTCTGAACTTGCATAAAAACGACTGATGATCATCTGTATAGGACTCGTCTCTGAAAAACTCACCCTGCAATTTTAATGTTGTTCCGCACAACATTTAAGCTGCAGAGGCATTTGCGTCTTCTCTCCAAGCTGTTCTTATGCCCAGGAGAACCGTACGTATAACCTCAAACTAATTAAATTTGCTGTTGCATATGAACGTGACCTTTAATGATCTGTTCCGAATGCGTTACGGCGTTGTTCGAATGCGTTTTGTTCCTATCAGTCTGCCAAAGGATTCAAAAAGCGCTGATTTAAATAGAGTACCTTGGTCGGTTGTTATAGTTTTAGGAGAACCAAGTCTTGCTATCCATGTTGAATAGAATTGCATTGCTACAGTTTCTGCAGACATGTCCTTTAAATGGACGATTTATGGCCAAGCGATTTCTAACATGCATTCCAGGTTCGATACTTCTGATTTACATGTTTTTTCCAGCAAGTTAACCAACACGATATGCAAAAAGCACCACCACATCTATTCTTCCATGTTATTGCACACTTACTATATGATTTCGTACGCAAGAGTAGGTGAGGCAATATTTCTGGAGTTAATGTATAGTCTTTGAATTTGTAAATTTTTCCTAAAATATATGACTGACTTGTGTGCATGCAATGAACAAGTTCTTCCAAATTATTGTAAATTTGATTTTGATGAAATTTTATTTTGGTCTCATTCAAATATATGAGGTTTGCCTATTATGAGATTAGTAAACACCGGCAGTAGCCCAACCATAGTTGTTGTTAGTGTAAATGGTATCAATATGTATGATAGTGAAGACAGTACTATGACCTGTAGTCGCCATGATATCAAGAATTATATTAATAAACACCATATTGTTTAATATCTAATTATGTTTTATGTATAAATATGCTCTTATAATTAAATACATGTTCATATTCTTATTATTATTAATTAAATATATCATATAAAATTGAATTATTATCGAAATTGAATTTAATCATGTAAGACATATTGATCATATAATATTTATAGCAAGTATTTAAAATTATTGACTAAAAACTAAGACACGCAATATAATAATGACTTATTTAGTGTGTTCTTTAACGTTATGCACTTAATAATTAACCATACCAGAAGTACAGTATATCTAATTCTACGAAGGCTGCTATGTATATTTTTGGCCTAATAATGAAATTGCGAATATTTATATTTGTTTTTCAAAGTATTCTCCAGCCTGATTTATACACTTTTGCATGCGCTCAAACCACTTGTCGAAGCACTTTTTCCACTCCGATTGAGACACCTCCAAAACATGGTTTTTGAACGCCTCAACAGCATCTTCTGGCGACGAAAATCGTTGACCACGCATTTTTTTCTTGATGTGCGGGAATAAAAAGAAGTCATTGGATGCCAAGTCAGGGCTGTACGGCGGATAAACCATCAATTCGACGTTTTGACCGGTCAAAAAGGCGCTGGTTTGAACCGATGTGTGAAAGCTCGCGTTGTCGTGGTGAACAATGATTCGTCTTCTCTTGTTCGTTTTTCGAATTTCTCCGAAAACTTAGGCAAACAAATTATGATATAACACTCAGAAGTGACCGTCCTTCGTTGCTCAAGCGGAACAGTCGCCACATGACCAGTTTTGCTGAAGAAACAAGTGACTATTTGCTTCGAAGTGCTTCTTCCACGAACAACTTTCGTCGGATTTGACTCATCTTCGAAAACCCACGCGGTCGATTGTTGTTTTGTTTCGGGTTCATACGCATAGATCCATGATTCGTTATCTGTGACGATCTTATAAACGAGAATAAATCTTTTTTACGGTCAGGTGTTCATGCAATATCGAATGTGTGTTGATGAGAGAAATGCCCAAGGATGCCTCTATCTCACGGTATGTCACTTGACGATCTTGCATTATCAGTTCACGCACGGCATCAATGTTCTCTGGTGCAACGGCCGTTTTTAAACGACCTTCACGAAATTCATCGTTGAGCGAGCGTCAGCCACGATTGAATTCATTAAACCAATTTTTCACAGTTCTATAGGTTGGTGCTTCATCGCCATTCAATAATTTAAGTTCATCAATGCACTCTTGTCGTGATAATTCATGCCGTAAGTTGTGAAAAATGATCGCACGAAAATGTTTACGTGTTAATTCCATTTTTTGGCCGAAATGAATTTTTCAAGTCTCTGTAAATAAAACAATTCACAATTAAATGACAATACGTTCTGATGTTATGCTAAAAAAGGTCAACCGTTCTGATGGAAATGTCAGATTGCAAAGGCAACACTAAGTGTTGCCAGAAATATAAGTTAACAATTGTCCAATACAATTGTTATTTAGTTAATCTTTTGTCTTCTATAAAGAGTTTCTTCAAAAATTAAAAAACCGAGTTTGAGGTTCGCTCACTATGTAGCGCTTTAAAAAACTGCCGTCGATTTTATTGATTATTTAGTACGGCACCTACTTCAGCATAAGAATGGAAAAAAAGAAATATGTGTCTAGCAGTCGATTATATATTATATTTTATTATTAATATTTTAGAATTAGTATAATAAAATGGGTATAATAATATTTATTACAAAAAAAAATGAACTATTTGCTGACTACTGGCAAATCCAAAGATCTTAAATGTTTGCGTTGTTAACTTATATATAGCAGCCCTCGTATTCATATTAGGTGTTGTAATAACATTATATATATATACACATGCGGTCATTTCATACAATGTAAATATTTTAAATTTTATTTTATTTTATTTTATTTTATTTTATAGTATATACCAAATATTTGATTCAATTGATTTATTTAGAAGGTAAATAAATAAAATTAAAAATTAATTAATAGTAAAATTTTTAAAATTAAGTAAATAAAAATAGAAAATATCCAATTTCTCTATCATTTATTGCAATTGGGCCTGTAAATAATTATTAATTATTAATTATTACAAAAAACAATCACAATAGGGGTATTGAGGCAACAGATTAGTTGCTTAATTGATTACAAAACTTCATATAAAAAAAATTAGCTTTTTGATGTTAATCTGTTGCTTGAACGACCCAAAATGCCCAATCTGATTAGTTTGTTGTGTGCAAATGGCTTGGCAGCACTCGTATTTACAGCAAAAACGAAACGTATGTTATCAGTGAAATACTCAAATATTCGTAAATTTTAATATCATTTAAATTTATCATATAATTTATCATATAACTAAAATTGCAAACGTGTCATATATCAAGAAGTTTATATATAAAATATATATTATATTTTATTCCTTTAAAAATTATAATCTTACTAAATTTTATTTATTAATTTATGTTATTATTTTTGCATTTTCTTTTTAAGACACCCTATGCTCATAGCGCCGAAACTTGGTACTGGCAGCACTATTAATAAATTTTCACTAATCTGAGAATATCCGAAATAGTAGATTCTCTGCTTAGTTTCTGTTTTGTAAACAAATTTTTGTGGTAATAATCTACTAAGCAACTAATCTGTGGCCTGAATACACATCATGTAAATGTCTAACTGAATTCTGACTAAGCACGGTGTTAACATGTCTCCAAAAGAAAATAGAGCAATAAATAAAACAAAGGTAAACAAATATTACATTCTTTCTCTTCAGCTAAAAATGCATACATTTTATATCAAATTTTCAAGCAAAAGTAAAAATAGAGAACAAACACAATTAAACACGTTCCTCTTGATCGGTCTAATGTTTTTGAAGACAAATTTTTCAAAAGCTCAGTTGAGAAGTCCTCTTGTATTTAGTGTTCTTGGTTAAAGATTATATCTGCTATCATAGTGGACAAGTGAAGTGTGGTCGGAAATGGTTAAAGCAGTTTAAGTATTTATAATTAAATATTCTGAATATATGAAAGGCGAAAACAAAAACTCAATTAGTGTGTTTTATAAACTGTCAACTTTATTCGTCGAAATATTTCGTTAGCAGTAAATTAGTAGTGAAGAGAATTTTCGATCTTCGCATTGTTTCAAAAGCAAAGCGGTTAGTTCGTACACAAAATTTAAGAAATCGACATCTATGCGAGCTATTGTACATGCATTAAATGACAGCGCCTAAAAGTATACTTTGTTCAGGTAAATGATCGCAAATATTCTGAGCGTACCACCAATAGCTTCGGTAAGAAAACTAAGCGAATTCAACGGAAGGGTCAATGTCGTTGTAGAGTTGGACACAGCGTGATCTGTAGAAAAGCTGCTTAGTAGAAGTAAAAATCTCAAATTACTTTAGAACTAGATCTTTATGCTGGTAAACTGCTACATAAAAAACTTATGTCGATTTTAACCCATTAAGTACCAGCCAAGTTCAAACTTGGAATTTTATGGTGAAATTTTCAGAAAGGTCTTATTTTACGTTAAAAATAATCCCTGCAAAATTAAATTTTTTATTGAAAAGTAGTTTTCTGGAAAAGTGCCGTGTGGTCAACCACACGCTGGGACCCATAGCACGTTTTTCTCTCTTCTATAGTACAAACAGTTTTATATGGGCTTTGTTCGCAAATATGGTTATTTTTTACTTTCATGTTGAAGTAAGTATCACTGTAAGTTGTATAAAGTACACGTAAGTATAAAATTCAATGTTTTATCCTTTTCAAATATTTATTAATTAAAAAATATATTTGAATTATTACATATGTATTATATTATGTAAAAAGAAATAAGTTTACTTGCATCATTGTCTACGATCAATGTAATACTGTTTATTTTCATAGAAAATCTTAAAGCAATTTTCTACATGATCATTTAAATGGTACTTTTCATATATAAAAACTGTAGCTTTTGGTGTACGAACAATACAGTCGTGACGATTTTGAAGTTTCATAGGAGCGTGCATACCGGTTACACGTGGTAAATTTCCCGGAAGATAAACATCTTCTGTAGCACTGTGACTTTCCTTTTTCAAATCATCGTAAGCGGTAGCTTCTGTAATGAACATTGAGTTCTCTGATGCAAGAAGATTTTCTGGCAATAAAATTCGTGAAGTCTAACTGAGGCATAGATTTTGTGTTGGTAGAAGCTGCGACGAAGCAATTTAGTTGTTAAGCGTTTATTACAGCGCTATCTAAGCACTGTACCCATAATGGCCACCACCTCTTTTTGCTTCTATTCCCGATACGATGGTTAGCAACTCCATTGTCAGCGCCGCCCATGTGTCGGTTGTAGATGTTGAGAACTTGAAGCTGCGGGACACCAACCTTTTTTGCGTTGCACATTTACTATTGGTTCAACGGAATCATACAGTATGTTGCAATGGCTACTCACAATGGTTCAATAATTCCTTTACAACAAATGCACCGATTCCCAATTGTTTGTTGTATTTGTCAGTTGCACTGAAGTATGGCAGAAACTAGAAGATATACCCACTATCCAAAGAAAGGGTTCATAGCTTATAACCGAAACGTATTGGTTTTACAAGTTCCAATATGAATAGCTGCGACTCAGGCATTTCTACAAGATCACCATATTCTTGTGCATTTGATTCGTATACAACTTCAATAGTACCTAAATACCATCTCACAATTAGACAAACGGAATTCAAAAAAGGGAACAAAATTTTAAAGTCGCATGTAATGTTCAAAAGACACCCTATGCTCATAGTTGATATTTCATCATCGTCAATCATTTCATTGTCCGACTCACCAGCAACGCTGTCAGGTGACAAACATCATTATTCAATAAGTAACGGAGTGTCACTTGGCACTAATAAGTCATATTCGCTCCAATTGTCAATAATATGCAATAGTTCCTAATTTCTTAGATATCTTTGGCACGACATTATAATTTTATTTATCGTAAAAAATTTACTACAGAACTATAAGCATGAACAAATGGAAGCCCTATATAAAACAATCAAATTTAGACTAACTCAACCAGCAATCAAATTTCAAAATAGACCTATTATAATTATGCATAATAAAAAACACAACTTTAAGTAAATCAGAATGATATTTATTAAAGAGATTACTCTCATTTTATGTCATTACCTAACGACAAACATTTATATTGCTTTGTTTCACCATTATAGTATTATGGGACCCAGCGTGTGGTTCACCACACGCCTTTTTTCGCCCGCGGTTGGTGGCAAGTAACTGTTACTAAGCCGCCGGCAAAAATTACGAAAATTATATTTGGACTTTAGTGAACACATGTTATAACAAATATATTAGTTTTTATTTCTGTTTATTTTAATTTTCATTTTATTAAAAAAGGCATTTTTTTGGACACTTTTTAATTCGGACCAGGTAAACTCATGAATAGATGAAAACTGTTCGAAATATGTATTTTTATATTATTAAAATATCAAACTAAGTAACAAAAACAAAAAACATTGAGTTAATTACTTTTATATATTTTTAAATAATTTTCAAAGTTAGCCGTGTGGTGTACCACACGGAGGTACGAAATGGGTTAAAGCAAAATATTCTTACAGTAAATAAAGCACACAGGGTCAGCGTTAGAAATGAAAAACTAGAAATTGGAGACTATTGGCTATGATGGAACAATAAAAACGAACTTGTCTGTAATGATCAAAAGAGAGAAATGGTTTTAAAAATATTGTACGAGGGCGGTTTTATAAGTCAGTGACTTTTTGAATTTTCCGCGCAGTTACTCCAAACGCCGCAGTGCTGCTGTCAGCTGTAATCTACCAGTTGGCAACTTTTTAATTTTGAGCAAGCTACGTCGTTTAGTGGGTGTTTGACAGCCGTTCAAACAGAGAACCTGGTGAATTTTTACGAAAATGGAAAAAAGTAAATTTCGTGTGCTGATTAAGCATTACTGGCCAAAATCCACGAATTAGGATACGAACTGCTACCCCATTTAGCATATTTTCCAGATTTAGCCCCCTGCGACTATTTTTTGTTTCCAAACCTAAAGAAATGGCTGGGCGGTAAGAGATTTGAGTCGAGTGAAGAAGTCATTACCGAAACAAACGCGTATTTTGAGAGCTTTGAAAAAACGTATTATTTCGGGAGAATACGAAAATTAGAAAAACGCTGGACTAAATGTATCGAGCTAAAAGGTGATTATGTAGATTATTGCCCATAAAAATTTGTTTTATTTAAAAAGTCACTGACTTATCAAACCGCCCTCGTACAAAGACTTAGCTTTAAAAATATATATTAATTACATGGAAGTGTTAAAAGCATTAGAAGAGAAATAGGGACGCGTTGTCTGCGGAAAAAATGAAAATACAAGTAATATAGTTAAAAATTTTAAATACTTTCGTATCTTTTCATACACTGCAAACGGTTTAAAAAATATAATGATCTTTCAAATTTTTTCGAATTCGTCAAAGATCATGATATATTTTGTTTTCTAGAAACACATATAGAGGAGAAAGACTGTAAAACTGTATAAACTTTTCTCGGGTTTCGAATTACATTTCAAAAAAGCTACTAGAACAAGTTGATTTGGCCGTGCTAGTGGTTGCGAAATGTACGGAATTAAAAAAAGACTAAAGAATGCTGGCTGTTTGAGTTGATTTGAAAATATAAATAATATTAACATTATCAAATTAAAAACGAAATACATAAATTTCAAAATTGTTCCGTTGTATCTAAATTATAACTATTCAGAAAATAATTTCCAACAACTGACTAATCATTTGGTAGAAAAAACGCTGAAAATACAATTTTAGTTGACAATCTAAATGTCAAAATACGAAATATACAACAAAATGTTGAGGAAAAATTTTTAAATTAATTTAAATCTGGCGTTAAGCATAAACAATCAAAAGACGTGGTCGTTAACAGCAGAGCGAAAAAGTTGATTGAGCTGTGCTGTGATTATGGTCAAAAAGTGCTCAATGGGAGAACGGCAGGAAACATTGAAGGCAACGTCACATATATAGGTAGTAACGGTTCTGCAGTAAATGATTTATGTACAGTCTCTCAAGAAAGTTAACATATATAGAAATCTTTATGGTAGAAGAAAAGAACGATCCGATCATATGCCTTTGGTGGTAGAGTTAAAATTGCAATATGAAATACAACAAAACACAGAACGAAAACTGCCTCCGATCCTCAAATGGATATATGCAAATAGGGTTGAATATAGCAAAAAACTTAAGGAAAATATAAGGACAAAGTTGCAACATAAAACATACCTAGACTTATCTGACTTAACTGATGCTACACTCAAATCTATTCCAAAAAATCAAAATGGTATGGTAACTTTTTGGTAACTTCCGATGATTTGTCGCGCTAAACACTTGTTGAAAAAATATAGAAGAGCAGAGAGCAGCACTACTAGAGCAAAATACTTAGAAGCGAATAAGAAATATAAGGATGTATGTGGGAAAAGTAATGCTGAATACTATAGAAATCTAGAGCCACGCATAAACACGATTAAAAATGGCAAAGAATGGTGGAAGCTGGTTAAAGAGCAAAGAGATAGACCTTTAATAAATGAGGTACGAATTGTATCAAACGAGTTTAAGATACACTTTGAAAATCTTCGTAATCACACGCAAATGGCGAAAGATGTGCATTATGCTTCAAACTTTGTAGAAATCGACAAGCACGACAATCCTATAATGGGGGGTGAAATATTGCAGGTCTTAAAAAA